GCTTACTACCGCGTAATTTCCATGCATCGTTCTGCATGGCGAAAAATGCGATCTCTTGAGCAGAACAATGACGGCAACACAAACGATGATTTGGTTCTGGTTCAGGAGTATCGAGCCAGGATAGAAGCTGATATCTCGGAGATTTGTGATGGGATCCTGAAGCTGTTAGATGAAACGCTAATTCCCTCGGCTAGTTCAAGTGAATCGAAGGTGTTTTACTTTATTACAAAAGGAGATCATGAGAGGTACTTGGCTGAAATTAAGGGTGATGATGAACGTAGAGAGGCTGCTGAGAAAGCCATGCAATCTTATCAAACTGCTGAGGTACTATCTTATTTCTGTAAACTCACGCGTACATAAAAATGGTGTTAGGGACGGTCAAGTTACTTGCGCTGGAAGTCATGTTTACCAACGTTGACTGTTTGTGAATTGAATTACAAGCCCCCAAAAAAAAAAAAAAAACTATAACTTGGAGTAAATTAATAGTCTTTTATGCGCGAAATTAAAGAATGTAATTATTTTCTTTTTCTAACTTTTGTACACAAAGAAAAACATTCTTGGACGTGAAACAACACACACACATATATATAGTATGTATCATAATCTTTATTCCTTAATTTGATTATTATTCCTATTATTTTCTGAACATGTATAGTTACTATTTCTATAGACATTGATAATGCTTATGCTTCTATTTCATAACGTTAATTACACCATGGGCTTTGTATGTGTTTGTGTGTACTGTTACTAATTACATTATTAACTTGGTTTGGAGTAGGTCTTGTTAGGTTTTTTTTTTTGGGTTCCTATATGAAGCGTATGATAATTAATCTTATACCCTTTCTTCGAAAATTACTGGCTATGAGCTTGTAATGCTTTTTAATATGCATCTAAATATTGGAATTTCAAATTTATGGGCGAAAGCATGGGGGAGATAGAATTGGGCAAGCAGTAGTAGCAAAGCCAAAATTTCATAATAGTGGGGTGAAATTAACATATGAGAAGCTTTATATGAGTTATCTTGTAATATGTAGTAACTTTGATATGTTATACTTTTCCCTTAATAACCAATGTAATCTTAAACTAAACTATAAATTAAAATATCAATCCAAAATTTGCAAAAGAAATATTCTGCTGATGTTTTAGGTTCATAATAGTATATGTACAAACTTAAAAGACAAAATGTACTTCGAATGAAATTTAACATGATTTGAATGTATGTTTCTTGCTTTGCCATATGGTTTGGCAATGGAACAAAGTGTTATTTTGTAAGTACTATAGTATTACTCGAACTACATTTTAGATGTTATAAGTATAATATGATGACAGTTAATGAATTGCTCAAAAATTGTATGGTTACTTCTCGATCCCCTTTTATTTTTTGTTCCCTTAAAATGTAAAGATGGGGCAAATGGGAATTATAAAATAGAATTGTTTGATTGTAGTTTTCGTGCATATACTTACTGAATAAAGTTTGAAAATGTGTAGTTTTATTTGTATATAAAGAATGATAACGAAGAAGTAAAAATGTGATTAAAGAGGAGAAATAAATAAAATTTTTGAAAGAAAAGTTAGGGTAAGGGGTGAAGATATGTAGTCAAGGTTTTGAGGGACAAAATAAGGAGTTAAAGTAAACTTTTGCAAATTTTTATAGGCTCAAATTAAGTTTTTCAAATGTGAGGGAAGAGGGGACGACAGCCCCCGCTAGTTCCCTTGCCTCTGCCTCTGGCAAGTAAATTCCTTTTTTCAACGCAAAAACTACACGTAAGGACAGTAGTGGCGGAGCCAACCCTATAATTGTTTTCTTGTAATCGTTGAAAGTAAGACATAACAACAATATTAAGATAAAGCATTACATTTGTTACATGAATAATATAATTTAAAAGCGACATATTCAAATTTACTAATTATAGAATATCTTTTTAGTTAAAAACATAATGAACCTTTAACAGTTCCTCACGGACCTTTGGTTTTGCGTGGCAAAAAGGAGATGAACTTTTTTGTTTTTATAAAAACGTCACCTTCTTATTGAAAAAGTCGCATTCGGTTTATTTTTAGCTGAGCAACTTCATTAATTAATTCTTATTCTACGCTTTATCAAATAATATTTTTTTCCATATTTTATTGAAATAAAAATCCTAAGTTAATAACAAACTACTACAAGTTTCAAGGTGATTAATTTGACGTAGAAGGCATTTTATTTTGAATTTTTTGGATCAAATTATTAGATTACTCATAAAACTTTTGAAATGGTATAGTTTTGGCAATTCAACTTTCAAGAGGATGAAATCATCCACGTCTCAAATCCCTAACATGCATATTTTGAGTCATTCTGCTTGTTTTTACCTTCAATTCTACTTTTTGGTTATGTCTCATGATTCGTGCGCATCTTTAAATATGGTAGGGTTGATGGTAAAAATAGACGGAATTGTCCAAAATATACATATAAGAAATTTAATAGGTAATATCATACTTTTGAAAGTTGAGCGATCAAAATTATACCATTTCAAAAGTTCTAATGGGTAGTCGGGTAATTTGCTCAATTATTTACAGTCCATTTCCATAATATTACAAAAACAAGTTATTTGTATGTTTACTTCTAAACAATTTAGTGGGGCAATACTTAAATTTGTTGAGAATCTGTTGAAAGTTTTTGTGGTTAATGGGTCGTCCCACTGCCCGATTGCAGATCTGCCACTGCGCAGAAAATTTCTTTCTCAATTTTGTTTAAAAAAAAAATTTTGTTTATTATTATTTATTTTTTGTGTTATTTGATCAAACAGCAAATTGCACTGGCTGATCTTCCACCAAAACATCCTAGGCGATTGGGCGTGGCACTCAACTTCGCTGTGTTTCACAGTGAGATTCTGAAAGCATGCGAATCAGGTTGCAGCAAGGCTAGACTGGTAAGGATCATAATACTTCCTTCTAAGGGCTGTTGAAACTTCTGTGGAATATATAGCCGCATGATGGTCATCAAATATTTGCTTAATCAAATCATTCTTGAAATCAAGTACCATTCAGTTTACTTTCAAGTTGGTAGGAATTTATATTCTTTAAAATCTTCTTTTTAACTATTTTAAAGCACAATAGATTTTATGTGAATTTATTCTTTGCTCAGGCTTATGCTGCAGCTCATTCAGACGAAACCCAATTGCCTGAGGAACTCCAAGAGGAAAGCGCCGCGATCATGCAACGACTCCGGAATAATATCACTTTTTGGGATGCCCAAAGGACATTGGAAGATTATGCGGTTCATATATGATATAATATAGCTAGTTAGCACGACAAAAGCAAAACTTTTTTTCCTGCTCTACCATCGATGAAAAGGTATAGGGATATTTTTAGTACATTATTCTTTGGATCGAATTTGCAATTTTTGGTATCAACTAATTCCTCTATGGAGTTCTTTTAGTATTATGAGACTACAAAAGGCAAGCAATAACGTCGTTACCTAAGCGTATGGACAGTGCTCTTTTGGAGCTTGCTTTTGGGTAAAAGCAAGGATATACTGCTTGTCTTAAAAGATCCTTGCCACGTACGATTGGGAGAATTCGGATTCTTAGCAGTTGTAGGCGCAAAAAGAGCATTTCAAGTTCCGAATCAGCCAAGTTCAACTAAAGCTGATCTAAGCCGTTGACCTGAAACTCATTTATATTTATTTTGCATTTCAAATTCACTACTTAGATCGAATCAAGCTGAGCTCGGATGATCCAATCCGTCAATTGCATGATGCGGTTTCAGTTGCAACACCGGCCCTTGATCCCCAATCCGAAATCACCTGTGACACTTACTTGAAAGGATTGCCGACCGCGGCAATAGACTATCAGCTCTAAGACTTGACCCCAACTGAGGTACTGCTTGATCAGTCGATTGTCAGGAGAGCTAGCGAAGAATAGGCATTCAGTGTCTGGGCATAAGATGCCGAAAAATTAATTGAATTCAAAATTAGCGTACCTTGGTTTAGATTCATCCAACAATATTGATGCCTAAACTTGGTTCATCACACCATTAGCTTACCGTTGTGTAATTCTTTTTCCTTCCCAGACACCATGGCCGTTTTTAAACTACTTCCTTTAACATGTTTTTTTACTTAAACCTCATCAAAATTAGACTTGCTTCATCCAATTCACGAACTATATAAATGACAAACTGAAACTGAATAAAAGTTCAAAACAAACAAATCCTGTCAGACCATTGTCTTGGCTTTCAAATTGGCAGAACATCGAAAAAATAAAGGGACCTCAACCAACGATAGGCCAAAGCTGACATCTGAGATGTTTATCAAAGAAACTACTGACCAAAACAAACATCTAAGAAAATCAACCAGTCCATGATGGATGAAGAGTATTAGGCATGTCCAAGGTCATCTCCTCAGTTACAGAGGAGAGTCTTGAAAGAGAAACAGCTGAATTCGATGGCAAAGCTTGGGAACAGGAAGCTTTTGGGTTGCAATATTCAGCATGAGCATCAGATAATCTTGAACAATGTTTTCTTAGACTTAATTTTTTAAGTGGGAACCTGAGAACACATTCCAGGTAGTGGCATCAAGATTACCTCTATTAGAGAGCATTCCATTACCCTAGTCATTGGATTACTCTTCATTTGTCACCCAAACATGCGAAAGCCTTGTACCCATACCCTTAATGAAATGACCCTCAATGGAGTGCTGAAATTTCATGCAGAACGTGATACTTGGCAGGTGTGATAACCTGAAAACTTCAGACTGATCCCTTGCATATTATTTGCAAATTATATTTGGAATGTAATTTTGTAGCAATAAATCTCCGCAAGTTATGTCACCCTAAGGAAGACTGATGCTACTCAGAAACATTATTCTCGAGAGAAGTCTCTTCTGATGTACAACATGCATTCTACAAGAGGTGGGATTTGAGCGACAAATTTAGGTTCAATAGGCAATAGCTACTTCTGAAACCAGTTGTCTAGTGTGTGTGTGTGTGTGTGTGTGTGTGCACAAGCATCTATGAAACAGGACTGTGAAAATCAAACTCCTGTGATTGGAGAACATTTAAATGCCCACTGAAATCATCGAGAACCAGAAAGATTTCTGTTGCAAACTCCTTTCTTGAGTGAAAGGTCATACAACTTAAAACTATGGTGAAGCTGGCATCAATAAGACAAGGAACATTTCACAACTCAATTCAGAAATTATTCAAGTGATTTTCAACTGCAAAACCATATGAGAACTTCACACACTCGGGTACAACATTTATGTCACTTCACGAGGCAAGTCTTCCTCAGCATGAAAGATGTAGTTATGCAAAAGACACTCACTGGAAGTTGATAACACCTTTCACTTTTCCAATAAGCAAGAAAATAGTAGGCTGTACCAATTTCACGTTTTTAGTTTTCCAATTTTCATCAGGAAGAAGATGAATGGAGCGTACTTGACCTCTGTAGAAGCAACTCCGCCCAATGAAGCTCATGATCGCTCATAATGGGCTACTTAATTTGATAAAATCCCAAATAGAAGCAGCTTCCGTATGCCTTTTGGAATCTTTCCAAGGAAACCTAGGTTATCCTGCATCACCTGAAAGTTCCACACAAACATACACTAAATTACAAGTCAACATTGTGATGAACGCTACCAAATAGATTCCCGCTTCGCTAAAATAAAGGTTGAGAAAATAATGCACAAAAATTAAACAGTTAATTTTACCTGGAAATAGAGTTAGTGCTAATCCATGCCACATAAATACTATAGTCTCTCACTCTGTTCAAAGTAACTATTAAATGATTAACAAAAGTAGGGTACTGACAATAACAAGTACAGCAAAATAAGACTTGAGAAAGATTATAAGAAAATACAATATCAGCTATAGGATTATAGTAACCTAATAAGACAACAAAAGGAAGCCTCTCCAGCATGAAAAATCTTAAAAGCAACAGAAAACGACCACAATTTTCAAGTTACCCCTTTATGCACCGAGCTATAGAAGCACCCACTAGCCACCTATTACTCTCCAGTAATATGACAACATTGATGCAAAAATTATAATAAAAGGAAAAAGAAAATAGTTCACAATAGAGATAGATATCTTTTTCAAACTAACAGCCCACTTTAGTTCAGGTCACCTATACCTGTCACAATTAATAAATTTCCAATGACCATTGATGTCATGTCCTGATTATTGTGGATTTTTCAAGAAAAAGTTAGACAAGAAGCCATTCCAGTTGAAGCTTTGTTGCTCTGATGCAAATGGAGTATAAGGGGCATCTTAATTAACATGTTCTTGATTCTTACTACAAATATCTTAACATGTTCTTGATTCCAGTTGAAACATCCTGCAGTAAGCTACTACATGTCAGGAACATCTATCGAATATCTTAATCGCAATCAGATTAAACAAACTTACCATCAAAATTTGACTTTTCCAGAGGACATACAGAAACCATTCAGAACAGACTCAATCCTGGAGCCTTTCAACTTCCAATTTCCTTACGGCCTCGAATACTTTTGACTCTCTCTATTACATCAATACTGTTGCTTCAAAATGATCATCATCTTCTAATCAAAATAAAAACTTTTCTGTCTAGAAATTTCTCAACGTAGCTCTAATATCTTTCTCCAATATTCTATACCAGAGTAATTGCACAGAAATATTTATCTTGCTGTCCAATAGCTGTTTAAGTTAAGGCAACTCTATTTACCCATCTCAACCAATTTGTAATCTATCCTTGCAACAACATGCCTAACGTCTTTCTTTGCTGATGTGAACTTGTCATCAGTTTAATCAACCTAAGTACCTGACCAGTGCATGAAGTAAAGAGCACAATTCAGATACAGCTAAGAACCAAGCATACGACACAGGATCTAAGGAGAAAAGAAGAAACACACCAAGAATAGAAAACCGCTCATCCAAAAAAGATAAAAAGAGACATCAAGACAGACACCTCATCTAAAGAGGCAACACAACCCTCACACTTTGCAAAGGAAAAGAAAAGAAAAGAAAATCAATTAAATCAACACAGAGGTAATGAAGAAGTTTTATCGATATCAAGTAGATGAAGCTAGTCTCACTTACAAGTATACGTCATCTGAATTGATATCCTGAAACAGATTAATATAAAACCGAAATCCATCTGGGCTTATGTCTCTGCACAACAATCCTGTAGAAAGCATTCAATAGCATATTATGCTAATTATATTGCCATTACATGCTATTGGAGAGAACTGAAAGAAAGCTTACCTTTGCCCTCAGCAGTAAGCAGATATTCCTTTGCCATTGCTGGGGCAACCCCCAAAGTCATTGCAGCATCACTAGCACTGACCCCACTCTGTAAAGCATCAGGCTTTGTCACCAAGGATCTAATTCGAGCAAATACCTACAATCAAGAGGAAGACTGAGAAAACAAGCAGGCATAATACCATATGTATTATTAACAAATGTATAAGGGTCCAAGGTGGTTTTTTCCTTTACACTCAAACAAGAAATATCCCAATCTGTAGATCTACATTACCATGACCAAGAAAAAACAGTTTTGTCCTATAACTATGTGAAATGTCAACCAAATTCAAGTTTCATGACCACAAGAAAACATTAGTTGACATTTCAAAAGGTCCCGTTACAGTATCAAACGACCTCCATCTAGCATAATCTGCAGACAGACAGCAAAAACTATATATTTCAACATGGGAATGCTCTTCACCAATTCCCAATGAAATAAAAATTCTGGTATCCTCTCAAACTTTAGAATTTGAGATAAATGAAAAACAAGTCTCATGATAAATCAAAATATTGGAACTGTAGCTACATATTTTTGACCAAAGGTACTTCTGTTCCAGTACAAAGGTTGATAACAATTTTGCAAGTTCCATAAATTGGTCCTAAGCAATTACGGACATAAATCATTGCTCTCATTTTTGGCAAAAGGCGATACGTGATTCTGTAGGTTATATTGATTCTCTTTTGGTATATTGATAGCTTAATCTTTGTAGAACACTTTTCGTCTTTGAGAAAGGAAGACAATGCTCAGTATTTGTTTATGGAGGTTTTAACATCATGCCAGAGATATCTGCTTCTCTCATCATCTCCATTTCACAGTAAATTGTCATAAGAGACTAAACTGTATCAGCAGCAACTCTCAGCTTAATCATTCTCCCAAACAATCCTCCTCCACTGGAAATTATCTAATTATCTCTAAAAATAGTTGCTGCCTCTTCACTCACCTAGAACATTTTCTCCTTTTTATTTGCATAATCTAACTTTGGAACACTAATTTATGTAGCAAAATCAATAATAGGCAAGGGCCTTTTTATCAGAAAAGGAAGGGAGAAATATTTGCCCAATTCATGAAATCCTACCAACCATTTTAGCTCCACAATGTGCCAAGTATATCAAAGGCATAGCACAACAAAAAGAAATGTAATATTAATGTAAGAAAAATAGTTCAACTACTGTATCACAGGAACAGAATAACGAAAAGAAATGCAGGATTAATAATAATTCCAAGGTTCTTAAATCGCAAGGGTGATCCTTTAAAAGGGCCAAACTGCAAGCATACACAAGCTAAAGAAGATAATTTTGAGATGAAATGCACATCAAAAAAGTGGGCTATGTTGTCCAAATCAAAGAAGCTTTGTAAATATAGCAGTAGCAAAATATATTTACTGCATTGTAATGTTAATTGACTGACTCACATACTTCATATCACAAACAGCAATGATTCCTCCACCTTCTCCCACAAAAATCTAAATCTAGCAAGCACATTTTTTCTCTTGGTAATTGAATTAAGTCCAGTCAAATATTTCTCATGCCAATGTACAAGGAAAAAAGTTAACCAGCACCAGTACAATATAGTTCCTCTTATTTCATTCGCATTTTCTTTTTCCTCCCTCCAAGTCATTGACTGCATCTCATCTCATTCTATCGAAGAACAATTCAGCTGTACAAAACACACCCAATTGTCTTCAGCGTAACATTAAAATCTGAAGGCCAATCCAAGGCATCTGCCAACAAGCCATACAACTCCCACCAACATCAAAGGTAATTTCGGTCACAGGCTCAAAGTGCACCAAGAAACAACATGAAGGCATCAGTGAACAGTATTTTATTCTACTCCAATAATGGAGTAGAATAATACTCTGTTAATAATAGAGTATATAATAGGTCATGCTTTTCATACTCAGTCTTTTGAAATAAAATGCATAAGCGAATACAAAAGTAAAAGCTTACCTAAATGCAGAGCGATCTAAATAAAAAATAAACTGATCCTTATGTAGCGGCTACATAGCACAATTACATAGAGTACCATATGCTTTCCAATATTTCCACTTAAGAACTGGAATAATTGAAAACTTTCCTACCTCAAAGTTCCACAACAAAACTAAAAGAATCATCATGGGATATTAACATCAGGGGGTCAACAGAACCTTTGGCAAAAGAACTGTTGTATAAAAGTTCTTGTGATCAGATAAGGACATAATATAACTTTTAAACAAAGTAGCATTTTTTTGTCATCAATTCTCTAACGTTTCATACAAAGTTTTAAAATATAAAAAGATTAAGATCATTTAACCAAGCACCTCAAACCATGAAGCAGGGCACAGAAAAATGTAAACACACAGATACAGTGGATAAAATTGAACTCAATATGAGTAAAGAAATTACCTCATCATCACTGTGAGCCTTATTCTGGATGACCATAACACCACTATCAAATTTCCGAAGCATCACCGGCCTGGAGAAGGAAAGCAGAAGAAGAAAGACAAAAAACATTTTTATCAACTTTTTTTAATGAATCTTCACTTCAAAGTGAGTACTTCCAAGTGGATTGTACATATAGTTCATCATTCACATGGTATCATCACGCTTTAGTGGCAGTCTTTTTATACTTGCTTTATTTTCTTTGTTTGCTGTTGGAGGCTGCAACGCCCAAGTAAAGAAGTCCTCGGGAGGTAGCCGGAGTTTTGTCGGTCAAAAATCAGATTTAAGGTATGGAAGCGTGTTGGACCCATTTCTTTTGTTAATAAGAAATTATTAGTCTTGATATGGTTTGCACTCTATTCTCTTGCAAAAAATTTTATGGAAGATATTTCAAATCTGTTTAGTACCTTATCAATAAATATTACACATCCTAAATACACTTTAGAAATAAAAATATTTTTTACATCAAGAATGATATTTCAAATATGTCTGCATATGTACAGGTGCACTGAGCACTTTATTTTTTATTTAGAGGTTGTAGTTGTCAATTGAATCTGGAAAATCTTGACGAGACTCTTGGCAATAAAATACTGTGAAGCTGAAAGTAACTGCTTAGCTGGTCCCATGCACGCACAAGCTTAGTGCTAATATAATTATTCTAGTTCAAGATAGTGCAGAACTTACACATCAAACTTCTCCCACAGAGAACATGCTTGAAGCAAATCATCAGGTGATATTAATTCTGCACCAAATAAGAAGCATTGTCACATAGGAAACCAAAAGCTCTGAAGGTGAAGGACATACCTATACATAGAAGAAAGAACATGTGACAATGAGAAGATGAGCATGGATTTATTACAAAATAGAACCTGTGCCACGAGCCCGGTTGAAAAGGCAATAGACATCTATGAGATTAATTGTTCCTCCAGCTCTCTCTAAGGGAATCCTAACAAAATCTGCCAACTAAGAACCAACAGGAGTGACTTGGGGCACAATAAAACAAAATCAGGACGAAGAAAAATAGCATCAAGAGTGATTGACATGCTAGTTTAGATACACCCCCCAAGAAAAAGGTAGTGAGCCACCTATCACCACATGAATAGGATAAATCAACGCATTGACTTGTAAATAGCATACACTATTATAGGGTAAACTAACAGCTCAACTAACAAAAGAATGTCAATAAATTTTTTTTTTTTTTGCCCCTCCCTTAGCAAGATGTGATGAACAGAATTTCCTAAACATGCAACATGGATAAGTCATCATCCAAGATGCTTTCAAGAAATAATATTAAGAGGTCCAAGTTGTTACTCTCGAATACAATACTGTTCATACAAATCTTTAGAAACTACAAAGTACACCAAAAGTGATACATTATGGGCAAATGTTCGAGGATTTTGTCACACATACTACCTGAATTTTTCTTCTGCATGGGATTAACAAGGTATGCCAAGTCTCCAGGTAAAATGAAGGTTAAGAAAAGGATCACATATAATATCCCCCCACTTGAACTATAGTTGGGTACCAGATTGCTAGCTTGCACTATAGTTTTCAGTTTTACCAAATTAGTCCAACTTAGTAGACAACACCTAACCCTGTCAAAATTGCAAGCCAAAAAGACTAACTCACCCTTATTATTCTTATGAGTTTTCAGCACATATTTTTGGGGACATTTACTCATGCATTTTTTTTGCAGTTTTGCTGTGTCTCAAAGCCAAATAGCACTCAACATGTAAATAATAAAATTAAAAACACATACACACAAGTCATCCCCCCCGTTCATACAGAAACAACAACGATCTCTCACTTCCTCTGTCTTTCTTGCTTTTCTCGAACAAATTGGTGACAAAGATGATGGCTCTAAAAAATTAGCTTTCCAGCTTCCATTAAAGATTCAAGGGTAGCAAAAAAAAGTTTGAAACTAGTTGTACTTCAACGGGTAAATATAACCAATTAGTATTTCAAGGTTAGCAATGTGATAGCAACGTATACTTCCACGGGAGGGGGGGTTACTGTATGACGCAAGCATTTAACGAATCGTGATCCAGACGTTCACTGAGAAAATTCACCATATCAATTTTGCCCAGCAAATTAGGTGGAAATACACAAGATTGCTCAAACAAGAAGATAAGCGAGATCCACATAAGAGGTCTCAAAAGAATATTAATACCAGGTACACGAACACCATAGATGAGAAAGCCTATACCTTAGACAACGTGGAGCTAAAGCAGACAAGGATAGTAGAGAAGATGGAAATTATGGAAGATTATTCAAGCTTTGCACTTAAATTTCAAGAAATTTATTTATTTGATACTCAGAGGCCCATGAGATGGTAACAGAAAAAGATATCAGAGTGCTTCCTGAGGAGAAGTATGGACTTATAACAGCATGAGCATGCATAATTCCAACACCAGTTCTGCAAGAAAGTGATTTTGGCTTGTACACACCAATACCAACAATTACAGTGAAAAAAATTTAAAAGCATATTTTATCCCAAAGTCACCTTCTTGCCCTAAATTTTTTGTTAAAAAGTTTAAAGCATCTGTACATACGAGTCATGTGTCACTGGAGCAACTTAGATGGCTAAAAGTTACAAAAGCTTCTACCTTTATGAAATTTTTGACAATTCAAACCGCAATTTCTCAACCAAAAGTAGGGAAGCAGTTTCCGACTTCACAACCTTCTGAAAACTATGTTGATCAGTTAATTCCTCAATAGCTTGTCAAATAATAGATTTGATGCTAACAAGGAAAACTGCATTAAGTAACAACAGCAATATAAACTAGTGTTAAGGATCAATAGTCAAATGATTGCTATCTAGGGACAAGAAGAAGATAGAAGTTAGACATAAGATACGGCAGGAAGATTGGATCCATATTTCGTTTTTGTGAAGAAATTATGACAAGCTTCTATTGTTCAAATCTCAAGGTATTTAAAGCCTGAAAATTATGCAGCTTTGGTTCAGATTTTGTTACCACAACGTCATCCTTCTAATATCACATGTATCACATAGAAGTCTTTACACTAAAGCCTGGAATGTCGGCAAAGATGTCACAAAACTAAACAAAATGAACTTTCTTTCTCCTTTTTATTTAACATTGAGTGTTCAGTAATAACTTGTACAACCTTAAAAAGTTCACTGGCAGACACAAGAAAACCACCAAACCCATTCAGTTGCATTAGCAACCAATCGCCAACATGGAACATATATTACACATTTCAAAAAATAAAAAGCTGCACAAGTCAGAATGCAAAGATCAATTTTGAAGGATGCCAAGAATGATACATGCTGTATCACTTCAGCTCCTGGAAGTTCAAGAGCATTTCCAGTATTTAGTTTGCATCAATTCAAATTAATAAGGTCTTGATAAATAAAGAAGGGCAACAAAGGGTAAACCTGGCGTGATAATTGTTGATGATACAAAGCACCAGCAGACTCTTTTGTAACTGGAGATGCAATACCTACACTTAATAACCAATCTTGCATCTCTTCTTTGGTACCCAGTTCATCTTCGGCTGCCCCAGTTGCTTGATTATTTGAACCAGCGAGAAGCTTTAACCTCATTTTCTCAGCTAGCATAACCATCTCCTTAGCCTTGCTCTGCAAGCAAATTGATCTGTTACCACCAAATTTTAACCAATGCATATCATTCTCATCAGCTAAAAGTTATGTTACTAATATGAAACCAAACAGGTTGGTATGCACTTCCAGCTGAATTGGAGATCTACCATAATGTATACAAAAACAAAAAAATGTCAACTAGTAAACTATGTAAACAGCATGTACAAAGAGGTAATGGAATTCTGTTATATCATAGCAACACAACATATATTTTCAGGGATCAAATTTGTACTCCATCCAACTTTGTGAACAAACAGAACTTAGAATTAGAACTCATGAGCAGATAACGTAATTTCTGTTCATTGTGTCACAATTTTGTTCAAGTGTCTAAATATTTGAATTCTCCTCCAGGGCCTATCTACATTGCCAGCTGCAGCTCATATGAAGTATTATGGTGCTAAAATTTGGATGTATAAATCACCAAGAAATTGGGTTATACATATTAGCTACTGGTAATCTAATTATTATTCAATCCCTCTCAGGCCAAGGAATGAAAATCTTGTCTCCCCATCCTTTTCCCTGTCATTATAGGTTGGCAGATACCAGGATACAACCAAGAGGCCCATAATTAAGAAGAAGCCAGTAGTCTTGAAATCAATATAGAGTGATGGATCCACTCATTAACTGATTAGATGATCTTGTAAAATAGTGAAACCCTGCAGAAATTCATTAGTCTTCATATTGATAATGTTAGCATAGATATCAAAATGTATACTGATAATTAAGGTTCTGGGAAAAGCAAAAACTGTTTCTGGAATCAATTTCTCCAATGGTCTACTATAAAAGCTTTACCAAACATGGTCTTTTGCAATTTCGTAGGCACTCCTTGAAAACCAAGACAATTTAGGCAAATGAAGCAAAGCACATGTGCAAATAATTTAGTAAGAACACCTCTTCTCTCTACTTCCCCAATTTTCCAGGGCTGCTTCTCTACAACTGAACTTCTTCAGTCTCAAGCCTGCCCTCAACAAAATGGAAAATGGAAGAAAAGCTCCTTGCCCTTAGCTCATCCCACATTTTCTTCATCTTTTCAACATAACTTTTAAATTTGAAGACATAGAAAAAACACCAAAAGAAAACCCAAGGTGAAAATTAGAATCAAACAATTAGCGCCCTTCACTCTTATCTTTTTTATTCACTTCAACGATGTAATTTCTATGTTTCCTCCACATTTTCTTGCACTTTTTTGCTTACATTAATTTGATACAGCAAAATGCAAATTAAGACAGCTTCTCTTCAGTATGTCCAATTAGTCAGCAATCAAGTACTAAAAACTCCCCAATGGCACCCAAATGCAAATATACAAAAAAGGACAAGTTAAAATTAGATTGAAGGGATAATACAATCTCATACACTAGCATTTGCAGTTAGAGTAAGCATGGTTTTCTAATACTAAAATTTGTCTATAGACTGGCAATCATAGTTCTTAATGCTACTAAATCACACATATAAAGGGCAATCATTTCCTTCTGAAAACCACTCCTTTTTTCATGTACAAAGACTATCATGCTTGACTAATGCTAAGATTGGTATGTAAAGGGTAACCTTACTCCCCTACTTGCACTACATTTGACATGTAAATGGCAATCATGCCTTTCCAAAACTACAATTCATCTCCGTAATCTTTTTTCATAGAACCTCATAAACACATTGGCAATTGTACCCCTTTTATTCTACCAATTTGGCATGGAAAGGCCAGTCACTTTTCTAATCCTACATTTCCCATCCGTAATATTCTTTCTCAAACTAGCAAAAATATATCCAATTCGGAGCAAAGGGAATACTATTCCGCATGCATACAGCGGGTTTGTGTGATACTTACATACCATGAGAGCATTCAGGTCTTGAAATGCATCCTGCAAACTTTTATCAGTACTTTCCCACATTTCTTGCTCCTTCCTCAAAATCCCTGCAACTCCAACCACCGGCACCCTCAGCGCCAAGCTCCCCTCTCCACTCCGGGGCCCCGAACTTGACCCCGCCTCAGCTCCACTTGCACCAACCTTAATCTCCTCCCAAGCCCTCACCTTCAATGCCTCCCAAAACTTCCCAAGAAACGCCTCTGGGTCCGATTTTCCTCTCAAGACCAAAGTAATTACGATCGATCTTAAGCCCTTTTCGTCTACTCTCCCCTCGGAAGTCACTGAGACCTGGAATCTTATCCTAGGGGTTGAAAATACAGATTTAATCGACTTTTTTAGTGAAAAAATGTGGGAGACGGCGGAAAGCGGGATATGTACAGGGGTGGGAGATGAAGCTGGGGTGGAGTTGGGAAGCCATAGGAGGCGGTGATTGGTGAGAATGAGGAGACCAGATTTAAGGTGGGGAAAATTAGGGTTTTCTTCTGATAAAAGGTCGACGGAAGAGAGCAGACTGCTTTCAATTTCGCCCGGGTAGAGAACTGGCCGGCCACTGGCCGTTAATTCCGCCGTCGGTAGGTAGTTTCCGGCGGCCATTGTCGCGCGGTAATCGACTTCTAAAATTTGTAACGACAACCGTTTTATTGAATAAGTAAATTACAAAAAATGTCCTATAAGTATGGTTAACCTAATTTGCACTTTAAACCCTTATAAATACAGTTGAAGATAAATCAAACCGTCGTGTGGTAAATCAAATTTTTAGAAAAAAATTTTAAAATAGTTAATACTATTTTTTGAAATTTTTATAGAAAAATATACTATAACGATAATGATTTGATACATGTAAAATAAAGATGTGATTGAAAAATATATTCATATAAAATTTAAAAAAATTTTTAAAAAATGACAATTTAAACAAAACTAGGAAATGAAAAAAATAGATTTTTATAAAGAGAATTCAACTTTTACATAATTTAGTTTTGAGGTATATGTTACTGTTTATAATCATAAATAGAAAAAAGATTAATTATTTTGGAAAAGTAAAATTATGAAATTATTCTTGGTGCGGCGTCTCTTAATACAAGAGACTATATATATATATATATATATATATATATATATATATATATATATATGCACATATCTTAATTTAATATATACATTACATATCTCGATTTAAACATACACATTCAAATATATATAAGTATTCACTAGTGTGCGTATTTTCATTCACAAGATTACAATTTAACAAAGTTCACGTTGTTATGAGGATAATTTTATCATTTAAAAATAAATTTGTTATCTATTTTAATCATTTAATGGTAACTCATATTCCAATTTCCCCTTTTTTCTTTTTTTAACAGGGTAAAAAGTAATTTCAATTTTTGATAAAAAAAAAAAAAGTTCTTTTTGTTTTCAGTTATCTTTTCTTTCTCATTCCCCTTTTTTTTTCTCTCTCTCTCTCTCTCTTTTCTTTACTCCATCAACATGCCTCGGCGCTTGCTCTCTTATCCCAAGGTACACCTTCAATAAATTCCAACATTGAAGCCCAGAAAGTTAAAACAATGACAAAACCATGATCAAGTAATTTGCAATGATGCCGAAAAAGAAAAGTCTGAGTCATATGCTACAACAACGTTGTCGTTTTCGTAGCTATGCACTGTGATCATCTTGTGCCCCTTTTTATGTTTTTCTCAATCATCTTGGATTCCTTGTTTTTGCTTCTATTTTTGAAAAACTGTTTTTCACATTCCAAATATTACAGTAAATGTGTATTTCAAAAACAATTTCAAAAACACCATATTCAAACATTATATTAAAAACAACTCCAAATATACATATTTAATATGTATATTTCAATTTGTATATTTCAATTATGTATATTATATGTATATATATTATATTAATATAAATTGAAATATACAAATTGAAAATTATATATTTATATATTAAATATTATATACACTAATATTATACATAATATTGTATATTATACCTAATATAATATAATATACATAATATAATATACATAATATGTAATATTGTATACATAAATGTATAAATATTTATACATAACATATTATGTACATTATATTATAATATATACATTATTAATGTACTTTCATTATTATGTACATTGTTGTGTATAATAATGTTATGTATAATATATAATATACATAATATTAATTTTGTATAAATGTACACTATGTATAATATATTATATTATGTATATTATACTATATATATACAATATTATGTATATTATACAAATTGAAAATTTTATATTATATATTATATGAATATTTATATAATGAAATATACGATAAATATTACAAATTGAAATATTATATAAACACCATATTTATAATATTATAATATTTATAATTAATATTAATGTATATTATATATATTGAATATTTCAATATTATATATTTATATATATTATTTATTCGTATTATAAATATTTTATTTTATTTAAAATATATTTTTATATATTTATAATATATTTGTATAAATATTATATATTATATGTTATATATATTATATATATTATACATTTATACATAATATATATATTTATGTATATTAATAATATATATTTATATTATGTATTATATATAATATAATACATTTATACATTTATATTAATATACATAACATTAATTGTACATTTATATATAATTTTAATACATTTATACATTTATATTAATTATATTGATACATTTATACATAATATTAATATATATTTATAATATAATAATTTATACCTTTATATAATATTCATTTATAATTTATACATTTATAATAATATACACTTATACATTTATAAATATATTTATATTATGTATTATATATAATATAATGCATTTATGTATTTTTATATAAATATATAAATATATTTATTTATAAATATTTATAAATGTATTATAAATGCATAAATGTATATTTATATAAAAATATAAAAATTATAATTTATACATTTATACATTTATAAATATATTTATATTATTTATTATATATAATATAATACATTTATATATTTTTATATAAATATACAAATATATTTATTTATAAATATTTATAAATGTGTTATAAATGCATAAATGTATATAAATATAAAAATATAAAAATTATAAATTATAAAAATACTCAAAATATGTTTTAAAAATACCTCTAAAAATAATCCAAAAAATATCTACAGTAAAAGTTTTTCATAAAGTTTTTGAAAAACAACTCAAAAAACAACTAATCCAAACGGACTTATATTTCAAAAATGAAATGCTACAGTGTTATTTTTGAAAAATAACCCAAAAAATAGCTAATCCAAACGGATCCTCAGTCTATTCATGTTTTTAAACTATTGGCATCATTTTCTGTAAATTTTATAAGATTTGATGATGATTAATTTCAGTTTAAAAAAAGGAGGGAGAATCGTGGCTCCTTTTGGCCCATTTGGCCCATTTGGCTAGCCTCATGTAATTTTTTAAATATATATAATTACGATTCGCATGAAAATGAATTAGGATGTAGTTTCATAAAAATTTTGAGAAGAGTTTCATAACAATTCACTGCTGCACAACGGTAGCGGCCGATGGCAACAGTAATAGTGCATGGTTGTTTCCTTCGCCAGAATTCAGTAGAGAAAATCAACCTTTTTTCTGAAAATTTATTTTTACCCTAAAATCTTCCTAAATCTATAGTATGGCCTAAATTTTGTTTATGGTTTCATTTTACCTCATTCTAAAGGGCAAATTGATAATTTTAACATTTGTTTCATTTAAAAACTTTGAAATTTCTCATTTGACTATTAAATCTAAAGGAAAAACTGACAGTTTCATTTTATTCAAAATTATAAGGGATTAAAGTGTAAGTTTACGAATTATTTGGAGGTAAAAGTGTATGTCCGATTAAATATAAGTGGTTGTTTTCGTAATTTGCTAACAGAATTGTTCAGTGGGATGTTTGGGCTTTGGTAGCTCAAAAAAAAAAAAAAAAAAAAAAAAAAGAATTTCAACTGCCCAAAAGCTTGATTAGACCAATAGCCCCAAGATAAAATTGAAAACTAACTTGATTGGTTTAATTGGTTTTTAACGAGTTTATCTAGCTTTTTATCTTTTTCCATTTTGTTATACAATTAGACCATCACCATGGCTAGTTTGCGGTTCAATCAATTAAGTCAGCTAATCACTATGCACTAGGTTGGGAATTCAAACCCTGCCTAATATATCAAATAAGAAGCATAGTACTTCTTATTTTTAAAAAATTAAGAAAATGCAATGGTGCATTTTTTTGGTCTCATAGTTCACCTCGAACTCCTATACCGTTTTGTAACTTTTGTTTAGACTCATCTTCTCCCAATAGAATAAGAATAAATTAGATAGTTACCATTGTAACAAAAAAAAAAATTAAACCATTCGATCGTTTGAGATAATAAACACTAGCACATTGTAAGTAGGTGAGGGGTAGAATTTGTCATTTCTCATAAAAAAATTAAAAATAAAAGAATAAAATCTTGTTCTTTATTCCTCCACGTGAATAATTTGAGGTTACACAGCATACCTTGTTATGTGACTGCAAGTGGATCAAAGTGATAATTTTCTATTACTCCTTTCACTCCATCTCTCTCTCCCTCATCTCCTGCCTGAATGGGGAAAATGTGAAGCCAGCATGGTGCTAACATCAGTGCTACTAGGCCTTTCATTTGGTTCGTCCGAAGTACAAGTACAGGCAAGTTTGAGGGCAAAAAACAACACATTTTCATGACCATTTCCCATAAGATTAGGATCAATTGCTCGCCATGGATCACTAGAAGCCGCGACATTTCTCATCCATTTCACCATGTTCATCTCTTCTGTGTGCTGGAAGAAGTCATCTTTTGGAAGCTTTCCCATTACTAGAGCTGCCAAGATTACTCCAAAGCTGTAAATATCACTCTTCTCTGAAAACATTAGCGTCTCATGATACTCTGGCGCCATGTATCCTACTGTTCCTGCCACATTACTCATTAGATGTGTGTTAATTTCTGGAAATGCTTTTGAAAGCCCAAAATCTGTAATTTTGGCCTCCATATCGTCATCAAGAAGGATATTTGCTGGCTTTAAATCTCTGTGAATGATGCGCGGAGTAATATCCGTATGCATATATTTCAGCCCTTCAGCTATTCCCAATGCAATTCGATGCCTCGACAACCAACATAGTTTTTCGGGCCCTTTTGAAACTCGATAGATTAGATCTTCAAGGCTACCGTTCCTCATGTACTCGTAGACTAAATAATGGCAATTAGCTTGCGACACATGGGCTAATAGAGGAAGCAGATTACGATGTCTTGCTAGGCCAACTGTCTTGATTTCTTGTTTAATTTGACGCATTTTCGTATCCAAAAGTTTGCTGTCTTCTTCAGTTAGCTCCCTAGTAGTCTTATGGGGCTCAGCAATTCTCTTTATGGCAATCCCTCTTTCTGGTAATTCGACCCGGTAGACATCACCGCATCCACCTTTGCCAATGAAATGTCCAAGTGAGGCCAAGTTATCTTCTTTCTGCAGGAAAGCCAATTCTGGTGGATGAATCAGTCTTGTAAAAGTAGTCACGCCTTTTCTCTCCATAACAACTTTAGGTTCTTTAATGCTCCTGAGCATGATTGAGCT